AGAAGCAGATTGGGCCAAGTCTGTTCTTCGTAACTGCGAATGCTTCCCTTCCTATTAGAGGGGGTTACCACTCCGGGGCCTCTGCGAGTGGCTGTCGGCAACCCTTCCCTGGCTCCAAGCACAACCCATGTCACGGCTAGCCTTGTTTCTCTTTGCTCGCCAAGAGGTGCCAAGCCCTTCCCCCTCCTCCCGTGCCATCCAGCAGTGCATGTTTGTCTGATCCTACTCAGCCCCCGGCTTGCCTGCTTGCACAGTGGGGCTGCCAGGTTCAGGTGGGGAGATTCCAGGAGATTTTGCAGGGTGGAGTCTGGGGAGAGACTTCAGTGGGGTATAATTAGGGTTGCCAAGCTCCAGATGGTGGCTGGAGATCTCCCAGGATTACAAATGATCTCCATACAATATGCAAGGGGATGGGACGGGAGACTTCCCCGCTGGTCTGCACATTACACGGATCAGAACAACCGTGCCCTCCTAAGCAGAAACGTTTCAACATGTTATGGAGGGGGGGGACCAAGATCACCTGTTGCCTTCGTAACAATTTTTAAATGGCCAAACTCTCCTCTAAAATGCTGTCGGCACCCATGGGATGGACTCATGGCCACTGTGACATCTAGCTTGGCACTAGGTTTATGGAAGTCATAAAGTTCGAGACCCGAGTGTGCCGCATGACGGAGTGAGCACCCGTCTCTGGCCCCAGCTCCTGCCAACCTAGCAGTTTGAAAGCAAGAAACTGCAAGTAGATAAATAGGTACTGCTTCAGTGGGAAGGTAACAGTGTCCCGTGCGTCTCGGTGTGTAGTCATGCCGGCCACATGACCACAGAAACGTCTTCGGACAGCGCTGGCTGTTCGGCTTGGAAATGGAGATGAGCACCGCACCACCAGAGTCAGACCCGACTGGCTTCCGAGCAAGGGAAACCTTTACCTTATGGAAGTCAATGGATGTAGAAGAGTGCAATGCTATTTACAGATGAAGGGTAGCCCTTTCTGCACGTTCCTTTTAATCCACGTTGACTGCAGTGTCCTCCAAGCAGTTCTGCACTAAAATCAAGTTCAAGCTTCTTTTTATTCCAGGGTAGTTGTTTTTCTTGTTCTGCACTAAAATCAAATTCAACCTTCTTTTTATTCCTTTTTTCCCCCATTCTGCATTACGTTACCTCCCTTCAGTGGTCAGCCCGGTTTCAGCCCACTGTTGCAACAGGTTATTTGGATGCTGTTTTGCTGCAGACTTAAATCGCCTCGACTCAAACACTGAGAAAATCCAGAGTGGCAGGCAAATGTGGGAAGGTCCTGAAGCTGCCTTATACTGAATCCAATGCTTGGTCCATCAGAATCAGCATTATCAGTGGCTCTCCAGGGTCTCAAGCAGAGGCCTTTCACATCACCTACTGCCAGATTATTATTTTTTAAATTGGGGATGACAAAGATGATTCCCCACTTCTCCACATGCAGCTGCTGGTGTGACCTTGGGTCAGCCACAAATTCCCTCAGACCTGTTCTCTCAAGGGCAGTTCTCAAAAGAGCTCTCTCAGCCCCACCTACCTCCCAGGTAGATCAGTGGTAGAGTATCTGTTTGGCATGTAGAAGTTCATAAATTCTTTCAGAACTGTTTTTCAGAACTGTTCTCTCATGAGCCGTTCTTGAAAGAGCTCTTTCAGCCCTACCTACCTCACAGGCAATGTTCCCTCTAAGCTGTGGAGTCTTGTGAGCAAAAATTCTACTTTGTGAGCTACTGGCATTAAAGCTGTGAGCCAGCAATTTGGCTACTGCATAAATTAGTTTGCTCTGGGGCCATCCTTCCTGAGCGAAGACAAAAATGTGTGAGCTGGAGGCTAAAAAAACTGTGAGCTAGCTCACACTAACTCAGCTTAGAGGGAACACTGCTCACAGGGTGTCTGTTGTGGGGAGGGGAAGGGAAGGAGATTGTAAGCTGCTCTGAGACTCCTTTGGGTAGTGAAGGGAGGGGTATAAATCCAATCTCCTCCTCCTCCTCCTCCTCGTCTTCTTCTTCTTCTCCTTCTCCTCCTCCTCCATGCCAAACAGATACTCTACCACAGATCTGTGGCCGTTCCCCTTAAGGATAATTGCCTTATAATAAATCAGACCCTTGGTCCAGGGTTTCAATGAGATGTCTTTTACATCACCTCCAATCTAGTGATGGTAGAGATTGAACCTGGGACCTCCTGCATACAAAGTCGAGGCTCTACCACTGAGCCGCATCCCCTCCCCTAGGTGAATCTGTCTAAAGTTGGAAAGTTGCAGCTCAAACACCTAGCCCTTCATTTCAGTTACCAAATTGCATCACTTTTGGTTGTCGAGCTGCAGATCCCATGGAGGACTGCCAGCAAGGCACCTTTTCCCTCCTTCCCACTGCATTCCTTGTGGATCATGCTTTGTTGGGTCAAGCCTTCGCAATGAGTCATCTGGAATGGTTCCTTCGAATCCCATGCTTTCCCAAGCTGCTGCCATTGGCAATGTGGTGATTCCTTTAAGGGGGGGAAAAGCCCCAAAAAAAAAAACACAACCAAACAACTCCAGTGAATCCTAACGCGTGCGGCCAAATCCTCAGCAATTTTGCCTCTGGACGATTGTCCCTTGCACAACTGTTTGAAAATGTGATGCATTGACATCACTTGCACAAGCACAGGAAACAGTTTGCTTTGTCAACATCCCGTTTTTTCCCCTCCTCTCCCTCTCCCTCTCCTTCTCCTGCACTTGCACTCTTCCTGCATTACTGGTATGACCTGAGCCAAGTCAACTCGATGGAATACGGCGCTTCCCCAGGGCATACGGCTCACTTCATTAGGAAGCACATCGGAGCAGGAGATCAACAACACTTGTAGGCTTAAGCCAACCAGACCACATCACTTGGAAGGGAAATGGAGCCAGACTACACTTTGCTTCTGACTATATTGCATTTACTGATTGCTCCTTTTGCCCTGGTTTTTGTTTGGGCCATTTACTACGACTTTTCTCGATCAGAGATCCCTCCCGGAATCGACCAGCCTCTCAAGCTCCGGATCCTTCACTGGCTCTTGATTGTTTCAGCAGCTCTGGTAAGTTGATGGAGGTTGAAACAACTTTTTGGGCTTCATACCGAGATGGCAGTTGGATGGATGCTTGTGCCAGTGTGGCACAATTAAAAATTGCCTCTGCTGGGACTGATCGATTGCACTATGCCATTTTTCATTTCTTGTTGCGCTCCTTTGACTCTGCCATGATTTCTCTTTCCATTTCAGCAATTTCCATAGCTTGTGTTCCTAGTATGTTCCCACTGATACAACTTTTCTATGCAGCTCATGCAACTGGTACAAAAACAGGCATCCATGTTAATGGGACAGGCTGGCATCTAGATACTGTTTCTTGGTCCTCCAAAGCCACTGATTGGCCACTGTGTGACCCAGGATGCTGGACTACATGCACAGCTGGCCTGATCCAGGAAGGGCTCTTACATTCTTAAAAAATTCAATAAGCCCCCAAGCACATTGGAAAAAATCTTTTGGAACACACACGTTCTGCTTTGGGGGACATACGTCTCTGTATAAGTGCCTGAGGGAGAACTGGGGGTGGAGGCATTCTTGGGAAATCCTCAAACTGTTGAATTTGCCTTTGTAAATCTCCATTTCAAATTTACCATCTATAAAATTCAAACAGAGGAGAGGTCTGTGAAAATCATAGGTAAAGGTCAAGGTTTCCCTTGCTTGAATGCCAGTCGGATCCGACTCTAGGGTTGAGGTGCTCAATCTCCATTTCCAAGCTGAAGACATTTCCGTGGCCATGTGGCCGGCATGAAACAGGAATTCTTGCTGGTGTCCCCCCCCCCTGCTGGATGACCTTGGGCAAGCCGTAGTTCTGATAAGAGCTGTTCTTGAAAAAGAGCAGCTTCTGTCAAGAGCTCTCTCAGCCCCACCTCACAGGGTGTCTGTTGTGGGGAGGGGAAGGGAAAGGAGTTTGTAAGCCACTCTGAGACACCTTTGGATAGTGAAGGGCAGGGTATAAATCCAATCTCTTCTTCTTCTTCCTCTTCTTCCTCTTCTTCCTCTTCTTCCTCTTCTTCCTCTTCTTCTTCTTCT